TCTTTGTTCTGTGATTAATTTTAATAAAATACTGAATTGTGTCTAGAATTCTTGATTGATGTGAGTATTGGGGGTGTGGTAATGTGCGGTGAGTGGTCGTGGGTATGTGGTGTTCCATTGCTTGGATCACGTTTCCGTACCATGTCTCCAGTGTGTTGTCTATTTGGGAGGTGTGTTTGTTGTTTAGTTGGGTTATTTGGTGGTTGCTTAGCTCATTTTGGAATTCCTCCCAGTTGGACCGGCTGTAGCTGTATCTCGTCCTGGCAGGGATCTGTATTGGCGACGTGGAGAGTGTGGCTACGATAGGGAGATGGTCACTGGTGGTTATTGGGCCGGGTTCCATTTGCAGGTTAAGATGGTGATGCTGGTTTGTTAGTACTATGTCTGGATGTCCGATTTGACCTGCTCTGATGTATGTGGGGAACTCCGGGCCAAGGTGTATTGCGTTGCCGTGACTCAGTAATGTGTTTAAAATCTGCCCTACGGCATTGTTATCCTGGTGCCCCAAGACTCGGTGTCGTGCATTTAGGTCACCCAGAAAATATGCTGGTATATTTCTCCTCATCAGTTTGAGCATGTCTGCTAGTGGGAATATGGGTCTTCTCGGAGGGAGGTAACAGGTGCCGATTATAATAGGTCCTGTTGGGCAGTTAATTTCGATCCCCAGAAAGTTTTCTTGAAATGAGTCGTGGATCTTGTGTTGAATGTTTCGTTTGATGGCTGTGGCAATTCCATCATGTTGTGTCTCTTGACTGTTTTTTTGGTAGACTGTGTAGTTAATAGTTATATTTTTTCTGGGTTTTTCTTACCATGCGAATTGATGAGGATAATATCTGGCTCTATGTTACGGCATAATAAATAATAATAATAATAATAATAAACGGTTTATTAATAGAGTTGCAGCCGGTGGCTGAAAATATACAAACTTACATTTGATTTAGACATAATAATATGCGTTGAATACATTTACAGGGCTGTACAGTACATTAATCAGGAGTTGTTTATTATTTTAACAATAGATGGGATGGTGCTATTCTTATATCTATCAATGCTGGCTCTTATGGGCTGAATTATGTTGTAGTGGCGGACTGCACGAGGTGGGCGGGGGACTGCCGGTGGCAGGAGGTGGCGATGACGAGGATGGTGCAGTAGTCCACTGCCAAACCTTGCTAGTGCTTAGTGGTGGAGGTCACTGAGGGATGGCATTTCCAGGGTGGAGAGAGCGTTGTTGTAGCCGGAGTAGTCTGCACTGAGCATGATTCTGCAGGCCCTTTTCTGTACCTTCTCTAGCCGACGTTGTTGGGTAGAGTTGAGAGAAGACGACCAGGCTGGTGACGCATACGTTAGTTTGGGGAGAATAAAGGCGTTGTAGAAAGTCCTCAGCTCTGGCGTGGGTGCCCCAAGTGACCTAAGTCGTCGTAGCATGTAGAGTCTGTACGAGGCTGCCTTGATTGTGTTGTTTACATGGGCCTTCCAGTCCAGTTTGTGTTCTATGGTAACACCCAGGAGTTTGGCAAACTGCACTAACTGGAGAGGATGGGCACCCACTGTGACTGCTGGAGCTTGCACTGGAGTGGTAGCGGTATTGATGTGCATGACTACGGTTTTGGTGTGGTTGATGGTAACCTTGTACTCCGTAATCCATGCCTGTAGCCTGTCCAGGGTGCCTTGTAGTGATGAGTAGTCCGGTGAGGTGTTGTCCACTGTAACCCCCCACAGTGCAGTCATCCACATAATTCCACCTGTGAGGAGTGTCCGATAGAGCATCGTTGATCAAGATCAGGAATCACAGTGGTCCCATCTTGGTCCCCTGGGGAACACCGCAGGTGAGGTGTTGGATTATTTTAAGATTGTTTATTATGAAGGCTGGTGCCCAGAGCTGGTTTGCGCCATTTTTGCTGACCGGTGTTCCCCTGATCCCCTCCTGTCCGTCAGCAGGCCCAGGCAGATCTTTTTATATGTTGACTGATCAACTCTCTCCCTTTCTGTTGTCTTGTGATGATTCTTCCTTTCTTAGTAAGTGTTTCAATGTGTGTGTCATCTAGGTTTTTGTCTGAGTATGTGTATTTAATCTGCCTTGCCTTATTTCTGCCAACAGTCTTTCTGTTGAGACTAGGGGGGGAGCTGTGGTTGAGAAAAATCGTAGACCAGTTTCATACCCTAGGTCTTCGTTCTCAGTGCTCTTTCTGGGTGATGGTGGTGGTGCCATAGTTCCTGCTTGATTCTTTTTTGGGGTGTTGACTCTGGCGGCTTGTTCTATTATTGTGGTGGTTTCATCTTCGTTTTCGTCATCCATCGTTTCCTCCTCGCTTGCTGGCTCGGGTTGTATATCTGAGATAGTCTGTTCTTGAGTCAATGGTTCTTGATTTGCAGTGCTCTCTGGTTTGTATATTATGTTGAAAATTTCGGTAGAAGGCACGTCGTTTGGGAATTCCGTGTCTGGCAGGTTGTTGGCGGCGAACATGTCCCTTGCTGCCTTGGCAAAAGTTCCAGGTCTGGCTATATTCGTGATGTGGGCGTGGCTTATGGAGGTCATTATTTTTATGGAAAGATTATTTCCAAGTTGAAGCAAAATAGTCTTGCTTTGCGGGGGGTGGTGTGGCAACTTTCTCGAGGACCTTTGTCGTTTCTCTGGTTAAATTTGTCACAGCTGAATATGTCTTGTTTTGCTGTTCCTGTGTCTTCTCCCTCTCCTTCTCCTTCTTTTGGTTAACTATTGCTTTTCGTATGGGGCAGTGAGTAGCCAGTGTTCTGTGATATCCTTCACAGTTTAGGCATTTGGGGTTGTCTTTGTTTTTACACTCCCTAAAGGTGTGCCCCTTATTCCCGCATTCTGAGCAGTGCTTGGTATCCTTGTAAGGGCAGTCTGTAGCCGTGTGTGAGTATTGGTAGCAGTTCCATCATGGAGTAAGGGGGAATAATTCCTTCTGCTCCACCTGGCTGCTGCTAACATGGTAATAGGAGAGACAAAGTCCCTCCTGGATTGCTCTTTGGGTCATGGCTATTTCTGTGAATCTTATTTTGAGCTTGGATGGCAGTCTGGGCAGCTTGACCACTTCCTCCACCTTGGCCCATTGGTTTCTATGTTCTATGTCAGATACAAATTGCTGTTCACTTGCTTCCTCGGTGATCGCTTTATCTAGTCCTTTGACTACAATTGTCTTCCTTGCTCGGAGTTGTGGAGAGACTACAACTTCAAATTTTGCAGAATTAAGTTTTCTTGTGCTCTCGCTCGATAGGAGTAAATCGACATCATTCTCGGTCAGTCACAGGGCGATGAAGGAGTCCTTGGTCGTGATGAGGTTAGATGTTTTGATGAGTAGGGTGGCACTGAGGAGTCTTGCTAGTTCTGCTTTTCTTTCGTCAGACATGGGAGCGTATCCGTACCCGGTGTGCCCTCATTTCAGAGAGTACGTGGTAGACAGGCCACCGTTGCGTGGAGTGAGGTTGGAGACCTACCTATTCCAGGAGAGGAATTTGCCACAGGAATTACAACACCCCCCACCGCCACTTGTTGGTCGAGTGGTCGTAGAGTGGTTCCCGCGACTCTCTCCCGGAAGCTCCGTCAGGGGAGCCTACTTCCCTAGTGTTAATGAATGCTCACTTATAGACGTGAGCTAGTGTACCTAATAAGGTGGGGTAGGGATTCAGGATTGCGACCCCCTTCCTAGGTGGACCCGCACGATCACGGTTACCCAGGAAGGTTCGGCGGAGGGATGGGTACTGCTCCTGCCCCCTTTCGTGTTCACAAACTCCTGGGAGGGAGGTGAACAGTAACAGGGGGGACCCAAGGACGAATACACCTTTAGGGTGCAGGTCCCCAGGCCAGAGCGTGGAAGAAGGAAGAATATAAGAAGAATAGCCACTAGTGTAGGTAACGCCGGTGGGATCGCGGCCCAGGTCAGCTGCAGGAAGCCGTTACAGAGCACCCAGTCTGGGCCGCCTTTGATCAGGAGATACCCCTGCTCAGTGGGGAGACACAGAAAAGGCGTTGTCTGGAGCAAGCTTCCCGAGTATTAAAGTGGTGGTGAGTGGCTTCAGGTGACGGTTAGTGAGACAGCAGTTTGAGACAAAGGCTGGCTGGCTGGCTTTGGCGGTGAAGGGTCTGGAGAGAGGTCCTATCACGGCGAAGGCTGACTGTAGTGAGTGAGTTGTAGTAGTCTAGTGAGTGTAGTGAAAAAGATAACACTTCTATTCCTTCCAACACTACAGACGGAATCAATAATTGTACACAAGCACTAGAGTACTTCTTAGCCTAGCTTACAACACTACAATGGGAAACAAAAGTTGTACATGGTATCAACAAAGTTATTAGAAGATATTATTTGCATCCAAAAAGAACTAATAATGCAGCAGTACTACATACACCAGAACGAGGAACTCACCTGAAACAATTCCTTCATACATCCTACATCACTTAGTGGCAGATAAAACATTAAAAAAATATTACTTGCACCGATGAAAATGCCTTAAGTGTATCCGACAAAATTATAGCAATCCCTGAGGAACAGAAATCCTGAGTTAGTCATACTACACAAGAACATGGATCACTCATAGCCTGTCTGGGATGACCCACAGAATAATATAATCCTAACTGTCCTAACTACCCAGAACCCAAAGGTTGTAACTACTAACCTGCCAAGTGGAAGGCATTAACAAGAAACCGAGATAATCACTCATGACCCGTCAGGCAGGCGGGTGCTCCGCGGTTTTTTCATTACTCTTTCTAGGTTCAGGAGTCATGAGTGCATTTCTCCACCATCACCCGTAACATGCTTCACACATATGTTCAGAATACACCCTTACTTTAAGGTGCTACAGCATCAACCAATTTTTTGAAGAGGAAGCCCTACGTCCCACGTGTGCAATCAACCATTTTAATCACATATACCCAATACTGAGGAGATGAATTTCTCTATGTAACCACTAGAACTCCCGGTCCCAGCGTGTGACCCTTCATTCACCCAGTCTGCACTCAATTGGCTTACTCCCAGTACTTCATGGACAAAAAGAGAGCGAACGTCAGCCCGCCTAGTAAGGCCAGCTCAGAGTACAACCAGGTGAATGAAGGGTTCTACGTTCCCCTGAGTAAGAGTTTTCACTGACTGACTGAGATGTGTGGGTAGTTCTTGTGGTGTTGTATGAACCTAGGTGTCTGGGAGGCGAAGATGTAACTACTACTACTTCTAATAATAATAATAATAATAATAATAATAATAATAATAATAATAATAATAATAATAATAATAATAATAATAATAATAATAATAATAATAATAATAATAATAATAATAATAATAATAATAATTCATAATAAATAGAATTTGTAATGAAAATAAAAAATAAAAAATAAAAATAACAAAATAATAATAACAAAAATAACATTAATAACAATAATAATAATAATAAAGAAATATAAAGAAATAAAAAAAAAATATCAATAGTGAGAAAAAATATATGTATGTTGTGTTGTCAATAGTAAGAGAAACAATTGAGACTGCAATTGTGTGTAATTGAGGCAGAAAGTCAGATCAGCAACCTGGGACTTAGTCACAATTTTCGTGATGCCATATGGCGGCAGGGTCGACCATTAGACATCACATTATTATGCTTCCAATATCTTCCCAGGCGGTAGTACTGAATCCAAAATACCTGTCTACTCCCTTCCCTCTCTCTCACTCTCTCACACACTATCTCACACACTCTCTCTCACTCTCGCTCACAGGATATGGACACATCGCTCCGAAGACTAAAGCAGGACGCCTCTTCACCATCTTATATAACGTGATAGGCATACCTCTTCTCCTGATTTTCCTCGCTAACATTGGCGATTTCCTGGCTAACTCCTGCAGATATCTCTACAGGTAAGTTACTCTTTCTCTCTCTCGCACACACGCACACACACACACACACACACACACACACGCACACAAGAAACCTTAACCACTGCCAGCCATTACCATTAACCACCACAATCGTCATTATTTCTAATCATTCGTCTCTACAACCACTGTTAACCAACAATAACCACTATGCAAAACCAGTAAGGACCACCACCACCACCTATCAAAGCTACTTATCACATTCACCACCACCACAACTAATGACCATCACTACAACTCATTACCAACAGTGATAGCCAGAACCGATACTAGCCACAGTCACTACTACCCATCATTACAAACCATAGCCTTTAACCAACGACCGCTTACCGCTTACAGCCGAGTGTGTTGCCGCTGGTGTAGGTTCAGACGAAGGCTGGCCGAGACGCGCGCTGGCAAGACTGTGGAGAAACGCTCGCTGTGGAAGGATGATGTTGGTTATGAAAAATACATGGCTACTGAGAAGGTTAGAGAGCGAACGTGACTGGTGTTTCAGGTGAACTTGACTGGTGTTTCAGGTGAACTTGACTGGAGTTTCAGGGTGAACGTGACTGGTGTCTCAGGTGAACTTGACTGGAGTTTCAGGTTGAACGTGACTGGTGTTTCAGGTGAACGTGACCGGTGTTTCAGGTGAACGTGACTGGTGTTTCAGGTGAACGTGACTGGTGTTTCAGGTGAACGTGACTGGTGTTTTAGTTAAGCGTGACTGGTGTTTCAGGTGAACTTGACTGGTGTTTCAGGTGAACTTGACTGGAGTGTCAGGTGAACGTGACTGGTGTCTCAGGTGAACGTGACTGGTGTCTCAGGTGAACGTGACTGGTATTTCAGGTGAACGTGCCCATCGTGGTGAACCTGTGCATCATCACGGTGTACTTGATGTTGGGTGGAGTGCTCTTCAAATGGTGGGAAGGATGGGATTTGCTCACCGCCGTATATTTCACTTTCATCACCCTCACCACCATCGGTTTTGGTGACCTGGTGCCCGGAAACTCCTTCTTAGACCTCGAAGATGGCATCACTGCAGGCTTGAAGATGTTGGTGACTGTCCTCCTCTGTCTCTTTGGTGAGTGACTCTCTCTCTCTCTCTCTCTCTCTCTCTCCCAAGTTAAATATGTGTTTTTACCATCAGTTACCTCAAGATGTTTAAGGGGTAGGAGGATGGGTGAGGGAGCTGCGACCAGCCCTTACCAGCAAGAGGGTTCTTGAAGGTCCGCCATGTAATGCCCAGAACTCTGTTTCAGATTTGCCGACTGGCAACAGGGGCACCATGCTATCATGGGATCATGGCTAACCCAAGCAAGCGTGGACAATGGCTATAAAACAGTGAAGATGACGATGAAAACATTTAAAATATTATCTGACCCTGTATGAATATAGGATTCACATAGGCCATTTTTGAATCACTGGGACCTTTTGCTCACCATGCTTCTGCAGAACAGGGTTTTAATAAGCTCAGCAATCTCGATGCACAAATCTCTTAACACTCTAGGATGCATCATGTCAAGACCAGTGGGCTCTTCTGGACCTAGATCTTTGAGAAATTGTGTCTGATACGCTCTTCTGAGAACTCAGTGTGCGTCAGCGTTGAGTCAAACCGTTTTTCCTCAAAAGCAGGGAAGATGGTCACATCTTATCTTGTGAACACTGGGGAAAAGGATTTATTTAACGCTACCGCCTTGTCTTCATCTGCGTCCTCATAGTTACCATTTTCAAATCTCAGATCTGATAGATACACCCATTCGTGTCTTTACTTCAATTTTACCTTACGATAGGAAGCTTTTGGGTTTGAATTGGCCTCGTACGTAATCCACCTCTGAAACTCTTTTCCGGTCCTTCTAAACTCTGACTTGACTTGGTTTTTAGACTTAGCATACATACCTCTGTTCTGCTCACCATGTCACGGCCCATCTCTTGAAATTCAGATATTTTTTTCTGAAATTTGTCTCTTGCCGCATGGTTCACATATAACAGTCTCCTAATAGTCCTGAAGCCAGTGGGTTTGGTCCAGCCAGTATTTCACTTTACTGTGCATAATATTCGGGGTAGTGATTACTTCTCATTTCCTCCTTCATCCTGTTGTAATCACCATAGTAATATTTGAACCTTTGCCAGCTCTCGTCATATACCAAGTAACAGTTAAATCTGAAGGACAACATCACGTGATAGCTGGTGCTAAATGTTCCAAATTGGCCACCATGCTCGCCTTGATAGTTATGATGAGGTCCAGCGGTTTGTCTTCTCAGAGTTTAAAAAAATGCAGGATTATTAAGTCATTTGGTGTAATTTCATTCCTTCATTCGATGTCGCCATAATTAAAGTCCCCATGACAACGAGGTCGCTAGAGGAGTTGCGTTGTCTAGTAATAAACTACAATTCAGGGATCTATAAATACATCTAACAATGAGTAAGTCTCTTCCCTTGAGATAAATTTTACATCAATTCGATTCTTCAATAACTTCTTCCCCCTGCACCCTTACCTGGCTGGCTCTAAGATCCTGTCCAGTATAAATAACCAAACCCCTCTGACAGATTACCTCAGAAAGGTTCGTAAATGAGTCAGTTCCATCTACTGTATATTAATCTTACAATCCTCTAGGCCAATCCTTCTGTTTCTTCTATAACAGTTCCACAACACCTACTTGATCAGGTTAATGGGTCCTAAGTAGAGATTTAATGTCCATTTTCTTGTCGAGGAAAGTGTCAGTGTTTATGTACATGACTTACAACCCGGAAATAGTTTGTGAGTGGCTCCAAACTTGGTAATGGATGTGGACTCATTTCATTCTCAGTAGCTTCCTCGTTTACTCTATTCACCGTATAGGGGGTGTGGTCAGGTATCCAGTTAGTTACACAACGATCACCTCCTCTTGGTTGGGAGGTCATCGTGCTGGTTGATTCACTGTTCTTCCTTGTCCATTCCTCTTATTCTGCATTTTTGCATATGTCAAGTACTTCCCCTCAGACACCGTCCTCATTTTTCATCAAATCTTCTATTTTCTGTAACGTAGATGATTGTGCGGTTGGTGTAGTGTAGATTATAGTGTAGTTTTTTGTCTTCTAGGACAAGGCACACTCCTTTTTCTGTTTTCCTGGTACTACTGTAATACGTTTTTCACGATGAAGAGAAGATATAATGCACTGATAACTCCAGTAAGGATGTCTTGTGTAAAACAACAGATTACTGTAGCATGAAAGATTGAATGACAACGATTGAAAGGAGAAAGAGTTTATGAAAGTACTGCGGATTGCAGTACTATACCTTTCAGCAAGAGGATAGTGTCCATGCAGGAGTTAGTGTTAAAGACAGTGGTACATCTCTGGGAACTTTTAAATACAGTACACAGTGAATTTAGCTACTTTATCATGGCCTAGACTACCGTATATGATAAATGAACAGCATCACTTTGTGTTTCACAACACCAGTTGAAAGAAATGGGACACTGCAAATCATAATTGTATATATAAACACGCATGAGTTCATTTTGCCATCATGTACTATACTCTCTCTCTCTCTTCTATACAGTATATAACACAAGGCAAGTGTTTACAAGTGAGTGTGTTATATGAAGAAGTTAACAAGTGTGTTACAGGGATGGCTCTGATCTCCATGTGTATCAACCTGATGCAGGAGCAGCTGGTGCACAAGACCCGCTGGCTACTGATGGAGTTGGGTATAGTTGAAGAGGAAATTGACCCAATGGAGAAGTACAAGGTTAGTAGTGACTGGTGGGCAGCCTCTACCTCTGATAGAATACTTCAAACTCCTGACCAAGACTGTATCCTGCAGCAGAGGACAAACTCTTCTTAATTACAATTGGGATAAGATTAGATCATTGTATATATATATATGTGATAATAGTAGGAAGCTTTCTCAGTCTAGTGCAGTACCGGCCATGCTGCCTCATTGTGTACCGAAGGCTTAGTATACAGTGTGTTATATCCACACTGTCCCTAACGAACAGTCATGCCTGTGGGACCCATCTTCACTTTATAACTAATGGTAGGAACTATCTGGACATCGATCAGGTATTTATAACAATAAGAATGATTGATTATAGAACATTTTTTCCTGAAGATAATAACAAGGAATCCTCTTACAGTACAAGAAGACCAAGAAGGGGACAGTGGTAGAGACCAAACAGGATCGAGACGGTAACAAGCGTCTCAGTCTGATGAATACTAACGAGGGCGAATCTACCACCACCAGACCCCCCACCGTCTCTAACATTAAGGAGGAGCTGGAAGACATGTAACACCCCCTGCAATTCTGTGACCCCCACCAGACCCCCCACCGTCTCTAACATTAAGGAGGAGTTGGAAGACATGTAACACCCCCGCACCAGACCCCCACCAGACCCCTGCACTGTCTCTAACATTAAGGAGGAGCTGAAGACATGTAACACCCCCGCACCAGACCCCCACCAGACCCCCACCGTCTCTAACATTAAGGAGGAGCTGGAAGATCCCATGTAACACCCCTGCACCAGACCCCCACCAGACCCCACCACCGTTCTAACATTAAGGGAGGAGCTGGAAGACATGGGCACCCTGCACCAGACCCCCCACCAGACCCCCCACCGCTCCTAACATTAAGGAGGAGCTGGAAGACATGTAACACCCCCTGCACCAGACCCCCACCAGACCCCCACCGTCTCTAACATTAAGGAGGCTGGAAGACATGTAACACCCCCGCACCAGACCCCCCACCAGACCCCCACCGTCTCTAACATTAAGGAGGAGCTGGAAGACATGTAACACCCCTGCACCAGACCCCCACCAGACCCCCACCGTCTCTAACATTGGCAGGAGCTGGAAGACATAAACACCCCCCACCAGACCCCCACCAGACTCTGCCCCTAACATTAAGGAGGAGCTAAGACATGTGTAACACCCCTGCACCAGACCCCCACCAGACCCCCACTGTCTCTAACATTAAGGAGGAGCTGGAAGACATGTAACACCCCCCGCACCAGACCCCCCACCAGACCCCCACCGTCTCTAACATAAGGGAGGAGCTGGAAGACAGGGGGAACACCCCCACCACAGACCCCCACCAGACACCCCCACCGTCTTCTAACATTAAGGAGGAGCTGGAAGACATGTAACACCCCGCACCAGACCCCCCACCAGACCCCCCACCGTCTCTAATGACACAAGGGAGGAGCTGGAAGACATGTACACCCCCACCAGACCCCCACCAGACCCCCACCAAGGTTCTAACATTTAAGGAGGAGCTGGAAGATATGTACACCCCCGCACCAGACCCCACCACCAGACCCCCACTGTCTCTAACACAAGGAGGAGCTGGAAGACATGTAACACCCCCCGCACCAGAACCCCCACCGTCTTGCACATTAAGTGAGGAGCTGAAGACATGTAACACCCCGCACCAGACCCCACCAGACCCCCACTGCTCCAACATTAAGGAGGAGCTGGAAGACATGTAACACCCCCCACCAGACCCCCACCAGACCCCCCACCGTCTCTAACACATTAAGGGAGGAGCTGGAAGACATGTAACACCCCGCACCAGACCCCTGAACCAGACCCCCCCAATCGTCTTCTAACATTAAGGAGGAGCTGGAAATATGTAACACCCCCACCCTGGTGACCCCCACCGTCTCTACCACATTAAGGAGGAGCTGGAAGACATGTAACCCCCCCACAAGACCCCCCACCCAGACCCCCACCGTCTGTAACATTAAGGAGGAGCTGGAAGACATGTAACCCCCGCAATTCAGACCCCCACCAGACCCCACCGTCTCTAACACATTAAGGAGGAGCTGGAAGACATAACACCCCCTGCACCAGACCCCCACCTCAGGACCCCCACCGTCTCTAACATTAAGGAGGAGCTGGAAGACATGTAACACCCCCCACTCAGACCCCTGCACCGTCTGTAACATTAAGGAGGAGAGCTGGAAGACATGCAACCCCCCACAAGACCCCCCACCAGACCCCCACCGTCTCTAACATTAAGGAGGAGCTGGAAGACATGTAACCCCCCACAAGACCCCCACCAGACCCCCCACTGCTCCTAACATTAAGGAGGAGCTGGAAGACATGTAACCCCCCACAAGACCCCCACCAGACCCCACCGTCTCTAACATAAGGAGGAGCTGGAAGACATGTAACCCCCCACCAGACCCCCACCGTCTGTAACATTAAGGAGGAGCTGAAGACATGTAACACCCCCCCACAAGACCCCCACCGTCTGTAACACATTAAGGAGGAGCTGGAAGACATGTAACACCCCCACAAGACCCCCAATTGCCTGTAACATTAAGGAGGAGCTGGAAGACATGTAACACCCCTGCACCCAGCACTCCCACCGTCTGTAACATTAAGGAGGAGCTGAAGACATGTAACACCCCCACCAGAACCCCCACCAGACCCCCCACCGTCTGTAACATTAAGGGAGGAGCTGGAAGACATGTAACACCCCCCCACCAGAACCCCCACCAGACCCCCACTGCCCGTAACATTAAGGAGGAGCTGGAAGACATGTAACACCCCCACCAGACCCCCCACCGTCTGTACATTAAGGAGGAGCTGGAAGACATGTAACCCCCACCACAGACCCCCCACCAGACTCTGCACCGTCTCTAACATTAAGGAGGAGCTGGAAGACATGTACCCCCACAAGACCCCTTTACCAGACTTGCACTGTCTCAAGCATTAAGAGTGAGCTGGAAGACATGTAACCCCCTACCAGACCCCCCCTGTCTGTGTACACATTAAGGGAGGGATGGGAAGACATGTAATACCCCCTACAAGCACTCCCACTGTCTGTAACATTAAGGGAGGAGCTGCAAGACATGTAACACCCCCTACCAGAACCCCCTCTACCAGACCCCCACTGCCTGTAACATTGGCTAAGTGAGCAGCATATCACCAGATGCACCACCACTGATTTGAGGCCATTGGGCGAGGAGCTGGAAGACATGCAACACCCCCACTCAGATTCCCCACCAGACCCCTGCACCGTCTGTAACATTAAGGAGGGAGCTGGAAGACATGTAACACCCCTACCAGACCCCCCACCAGACCCCCACCGTCTGTAGCCAACATTAGCCATGTAACACCCCCACCAGACCCCCACCAGACCCCCACCAAGTCTGTGTAACATTAAGGAGGAGCTGGAAGACATGTAACACCCCCACCAGACCCCCACCGCCTGTAACACAAGGAGGAGCTGGAAGACATGTAACACCCCCACCAGACCCCACCAGACCCCCACCGTGTGTAACATTAAGGAGGAGTGGGAAGACATGTAACACCCCCCACCAGAAATTTCACCAGACCCCCACCGTCTGTAACATTAAGGGAGCTGGAAGACATGTAACACCCCCCACCAGACCCCCACCAGACCCCCACCGTCTGTAGGGCACATTAAGGAGAGCTGGAAGACTGTAACACCCCCCACCAGGACCCCCACCAGACCCCCACCGTCTCTAACATTGAGGAGCTGGAAGACATGTAACACCCCCACCAGACCCCCACCGTCTGTACATTAAGGAGGAGCTGGAAGACATGTAACACCCCCCACCCAGACCCCCACCAGACCCCCCACCGTGTAACATTAAGGAGGAGCTGGAAGACATGTAACACCCCCACCAGACCCCCACCACAGACCCCCTGCACTGTCTGTAAATATTTGGGAGCTAATATGTAACACTTCAATTGTGACCCCCTGCACCGTTCAGAAGACAAGGAAGAGCTGAGACATGTAACACCCCCCACCAGACCCCCACCGTCTATACATTGCTGAGGAGCTGAAGACATGTAACACCCCCACCTGCATTCCCCAATTGTTCTACAAGGGGAGTGGAGCTGGAAGACATGTGTAACACCCCCACCAGACCCCCACCAGACCCCCACCGTCTGTAACATTAAGGAGGAGCTGAAGACATGTAACACCCCCACCAGACCCCTGCAATTGCATCCCTGCAACTGCCTGTACATTAAGGAGGAGCTAAAGACATGTAACACCCCCCCACCAGACCCCCCACCGCCTGTAACATTATGACAGCAAAGACATGTAACACCCCCACCAGACCCCCACCAGACCTCCCCACCGTCTGTGTACCATTAAGAGGTGAGCTGGAAGACATGTAACACCCCCACCAGACCCCTGTACCAGACCCCTGCACCGTCTGTAATATTTAAGGAGGAGCTGGAAAGACATGTAACACCCCTGCACCAGACCCCCAACCAGACCTCCCCCGACCAGACCCCCCCACCAGACTCAAAATTGTCTGTAATATTAAGGAGGAGCTGGAAGACATGTAACACTCCCCACCTGTGACCCCCACCGTTCGTAAGGACAAGGAGGTGAGCTGAACACATGTACACCCCCACCAGACCCCCACCGCCTGTAACATTGCTGGTGGCTTGGAAGCCATACATGTAACACCCCCCCACCAGACCCCCCACTGTCTGTACACATTAAGGAGGAGCGTAAGATATGTAACACCCCCACCAGACCCCTCTGCACCGTCTGTAACAACATTAAGGGAGAGCTGTTTGACATGTAACACCCCCACCAGACCCCCGCACCAGACCCCCACCGTCTCTAACATTAAGGAGGAGCTAAACATAGTGGGTCACCCCCCACTGTAATCCCCACCGTCTCTGACATTAAGGAGGAGCTGGAAGACATGTAACACCCCCCCACGAGACCCCCACCGTTCTAACATTAAGGAGGAGCTGGAAGACATGTAACACCCCCACCAGAAGCCCCCACCGTCTGTAAGACATGGAGAGCTGGAAGACATGTACTACCCCCACCAGACCCCCCACCGTCTGTAGGCCAGATAAGGAGTGAGCAAGAGACATGCAACACCTCCCCACCAGAGCCCCCACCAGACCCCCACCGTCTCTAATGATATGAGGAGCTGGAAGACATAACACCCCCCACCAGACCCCCACTGCTCCTACTAAGGGGAGGAGCTGGAAGACATGTAACACCCCCCACCAGGAGCTCCCCACTGTAGACCCCCCACCGTCTTGTAACATTAAGGGAGGAGCTGGGCACAGGCAACACCCCCACCAGACCCCCACCAACCCCCACTGCCCTGTAACATTAAGTGAGGAGCTGGAAGACATGTAACACCCCCACCCAGACCCCACCAAGCCTGTAACATTACAAGGAGAGCCAAGACATGTAACACTTCACCAGACCCCTGCACCAGACCCCCACTGTCTGTAACATAGTGAGGAGCTTGGAAGACATGTAACACCCCCCACTGTG